AGAAAGGATCATGCCTTAGAATCAGACTCGATACCTCACCAAATACCAAAGTCTCACATACCAAAGTCTACACTTGTTTGATTTTTAAAATACATTTGACATGTGAGACTTTGGTATTTTTTACTAACATGATGAAATTGAAAATCATAGAATAATTTTCAAACCTTCAAACTTCAAAGTACCGAGAGTCTTTTTAACTTAACATATATAAGACCGGATAAAATTATAATCATAATTGGTGGAAGTTGGTGTATCCAATAGTAAACGGTCGATTTTAAAATAATAGTAAAAGATAGAAGTCGCCATGCAATTCTTAGAGCATCATTATTGATGAGATTTTGTGGGTATCATTAGATATAAAATTATTAAAATTTGAATAAAAAAAAAGAAAAAGAGTATTTTTGGTTGAAATAATGGAGTGTATTGAAATATAAAATTAATAAAATTTGAGTAAAAAGAGGAGATGAGTTGATACTTTTAGAGAGAGAGTGTCAAAAGTATCAATGAGTTAATACTTTTGGAGAGAGTTTAAACTTTAGTTGGGGTGTGTTTAAATATAAAATTAATAAAAGTTGAATAAAAGATGAAAAAAAATGTATAAAGTTGAGTAAAAGGAAGAGAGAAGATGTGTTTTAATAATTTTATATCTAATGATACCCAACAGAGATCATCAATAATGATGCTCTTAGTCGTCTAATCATTGACCAACATTTTGGGTGGGAATATGAAATGGTCACGTCAAAGTTATATTAATCTCCGTATGAATAAAATTGACTCATTTCAAACGCGTACGTACGAGTCTTTCTTTAATTCACGCCATAGTATTTTGTTGTTTCGCACCGATATCACACCGTTTTATATCACCTAAATTTGTACTTATAAGAAAGTACGAATATATACATCATTTTTTGTTTTAATTCACATTAGTAGTTAACTACTCTAAGCATTTAAATTAGCTGCATTAATTGGGATTTCTGGTACGTTAACTAAATGTTAACGTGTCTTTTTAAATGTAGTATACTATAATTACTGATGTGGACTTGTCATAATCAATGTTTTCGGTTGCTAATTATTGTTAATAACATTTCATGTAATTGAAGTGATCTATTGAGATCAGTATGTGATTAGTGTCTCTACCAACCAAGATAATTATAAACCTTATTAATTTGATGAGTATTATGTATAACAATGTCTTAAAGGGAATCAAACAAATGTTATTATAACATTAAACTTGGAAATTAACTAACTAAGCTAAAATCAATATATTACTTCTGGAAGCACAGGTAATACGCGTTATCTAAAATCCAACTACCAGTTATAGGGCTAGTTATTTTATTTACAAAAACAAGTAATTCAATATTGAATAAAATCTTGAGCATGCCGCACATGTTGTAAATCGATTGTGGATGAGATTTTCGGAAAAATTACTCATCAGCCTCCAACTATATGACATTAATATTATTTATAAAAACTACTAACAATCAATACACATTTTTATCAACAACAAAAAAAAACAAGGGAAATTTGCTAAATTGACTCAGTTTGAATTAGTGTTTTGCGAAATAACATTTGCCTTATTTTTACCAACTTTTTCCTAAATTACCCTTTGATTAATTCCAAAAATTACAAATAAATGGTTTTTATAATTTTATAAAATTAAAAAAATACAAAAGAGTAATACACAAGACATATAGATTCATGTACAATTTTTTTTTTTTAAAACTATGACAGAAAATTATTTATTTTTGCTTCTACCATGGTCGAATCTACTAGTAGATTAGGTGTTCTACGAATTTGAATAAATCTACGAGTGGTAGAATGAAGTATTCTACTAAT